TTGGCTGCGTGCAAGTGGGTCCTTGTGACACACGGGGATGGGGGCAGCCAGCGCTCAACCTGTCATCCACGTGGCTGGCCTTGTACGTAAGAGGTTATGAACAGGTGGAGCTTTCCTTACCTCTTCCCCTTCCCCTTTTTTCCTTTTCCTTTTTTCTTTCCCCTTTTGTGCGCTCTGATTCACAATGTGACAATATATAAGAAAAGGATGAAGAAGAAGAAAAAGAAGAAGTAGAAGAAGAAAACGAAGAAAAGGAAGAAGAAGAAGAAGTAGAAGAAGTAGAAGAAGAAGAAGGGGAAGAAGGGTTCGTATCATTGCCCTCTTTTCTGTTATCGTCGGTCACCACTGGAAAGCCGGGTCACCACAAGCCGGGTCACCACTGGAAAGCCGGGTCACCACAAGCCGGGTCATCACTGGAAAGCCGGGTCTCCACTGGAAAGCCGGGTCACCACTGGAAAGCCGGGTCACCACTGGAAAGCCGGGTCGGCACAAGGCTGTCGGTAAGGCAAAGAACCCGGCAGAGTAGCATCAACGCGACGTCGAGAGGGGGCAGATGAAGAAGAAGAAGAGGAAGAAGAAGAAGAAGAAAACGAAAAGAAGAAGAAGAAGAAGAAGAAGAAGAAGAAGAAGAAGAAGAAAACGAAAAGAAGAAGATGAAGAAGAAGAAGAAGAAGAAGAAGAAGCAGAAAAAGAAAACGAAGAAAATGAAGTAGAAGAAAGAGAATGTAGAAGAAGAAGGGGAAGGAAGAAGAAGAAGAAGAAGAAAGACAAAGAGAAGAAAAAAAGAACAAATTGCCGAAAAAAAGAAAAAAAGATGGGGTGTGTCATTTGCTTTGTTTGACTGATAGGCCTTCCTCTTCCCTTGTCCTTTCTTTGACTGAATCCCTTTCTCTTTCCCTTGTCCTTTCTGAGGTTTGGTTTCGTCCTCCTTTTCTTTACCTCTTTGCCTTTTGGCTGCGTGCAAATGAGTCCTTGTGACACACGGGGATGGAGGCAGCCGGCGCTCAACCTGTCATCCACGTGGCCGGCCTTGTACGTAAGAGGTGATGAACAGGCGGAACTTTCCTTCCGTCTTTCCTTTTTTGTTTTGTCTTTTTTCGCCTTTGCGCTCCGAGATACGGACGATATATGCACATCCTTCTGATGAGTCGGTGAAACTCCAACAAAATTGTCTGTCACAGCCCCCAGTTTCTTATCCTTTTCTCCCTTTCGGCCTACACGGTTCACAAGGCAGTCGTCTATCACCATAGATATTACTATACATATCGCCATAGATTTATTCATATATCTCTGAGTCGGTGAAACGCCCACGAAACAGTTTGTCACAGCCCCTCGTTTGTTGTCCTCTTCGCCCTCTCTGCCTACGGTTTACGGGGCAGCTCTGTTTGACGATAAAAATATGTTGACAAACTAAGCACTTGGTGAGAGAGCCCACCGTTCACCCGGCCGTTTTCTTTGACAACGTAGAAACGTACTCGTGGAGCGAGCCCACTGGAGAAGTAGCAAAGGAGAGAGATTCAAGAATAGACAAAAAAATCGGAAAAAGAAAGAAGGAAAGAAAGAAAGAAAGAAAGAAAGAAAGCAGCTATGAACAACAACTTGCTTACGAATACGATAGATTATAGCGAAAAGTACAAAGCTTCGTGTTCTTTGAACTCGGAACGCGCATATAGAAAGGAAGTAGGCGGTTGAAAGGAGTGCGGAACACAATTGGTTTTGCTTCGCTTTCTGTTTGTTTCTCTTAAGATGATATGAAAGCAGTGGATGTTGCGAGTTTTTGTTGTTGAGATACTTGAAAAAAGAAAGCGGTGAATCTTGTGTGTTTTGGGTGCGCGCGGCTCCTCGAAGGTATGGTAGTTGGGAAAACTGGGCGGGAAGTCTCTACCCTACTCGTTTCTCTGGTGGAGGGGGCCTGCACCGTGTCGCGTAGAATCTCGTGTTGTTCACATTCATTTGTGTTCTTTATGATATTTATATCAGTATGACTAAAAACATGTAATGCTTTTGTATTCCCTCACGTTCATGTACATGGGATTTCAGGGCGGTACATTTCATGACAACGTATATCTGTGGGATGTGTCATTTGCTTTTTGGCAATTGGATTATCTGTGGGATGTGTCATTTGCTTTCCCTGTCAGGTTTGGTTTCCTTCTCCTTTTCTTTACCTCTTTGCCTTTTGGGTGCGTGCAAGTGGGTCCTTGTGACACACGGGGTTCGGGGCAGCCAGCGCTCAACCTGTCGTCCACGTGGCTGGCCTTGTACGTAAGAGGTGATGAACAGGTGGGGCTTTCCTTCTTTTCCTTCTCTTGTTTTGTCTTTTTCCGCCTTTGCGCTCCGATTCACAGTGTGACAATATATATACGTTACGTGGCAACGTATATAACTTGCAACTATGTGTTTATGTATACACATTGTCACAGCCCCTCGTTTGTTGTCCTTTTCTCTCTCTCTGCCTACGGTTTACCGCGCAGCTCTGTTTGGCGATATATATACGCATAGGCAGTCCGTCACGGCCTCCCGTTCCTTGTCCTTTCTCCCTTTCTGCTGGCGAATGATGGCGATGTAAATATTCTCTTTTTGTGACGATATATATATATGTGTTTGTTGTAAGTAAGAAGATACAAAATGAATTGATTTTTTGTTTTTTTTTCGCTTTTGCGCTCTGACATCGTTGTGACGATATATGTGTTTATATGTGTATATATGTATATAGCATATCGTATCGTATGTTCTTTACATTCATGCGGGCAGCATACATGATTCGTCCTCTTTTTGGCCTTTCTCTACGCGTTTGTGACGCCCTGGCTTTCAGTCGATCAAACTTTGAGATTTTCCTCGTTTCCTCCCCGCTGTTGCGAACTATCCTCTTCATCCCTACCGGTCTTCCCCCGAACACAACTCATCCTTATCAGCACTGCCCGGAAAGTAGCTTTTGCGCATTCATGATAAGGGTGCGTTGTGTTCGGGGGGGCAGACGGTAGGAAGAGGGTGATAGGTTGTGGAAGAGGGGGATAGGTAGCGCAAGAGGGGGAAATGAGTAGCGGAAGAGCGGGAATAGGTTGTGCAACCTGTCGGGCGCTCTTCCTCCCTGTACGTGGACGCAGAGGATTGTGCTAATCTTCATCCTCGTCGCAAAATAAAGAAAAAGAAAAGCGAATCCTCCTCCTCCCTGGCCCTTGTCAACTTCAGTGTGCAGAGGGACTGTCCCACTCAAGCGATTCCCCAACCAACCACTCCCACAGCGATGCTCACCCTCGGCCAGTCACCGTCCCGCTCCAATCAGCCTGTACCATCGGGTGTCGTGCGGCGCATTGTGCGGTTGCACTGCAGTTCCTCCTTCAAAACAGACTGGAAGCCGATCCACTCTGAGCAGACAGGAACCCAACGTGGAACTCAGTGTCCCGCTGGCGTAGAGGTAAGCGGAAATGACTGAGGTCCACGTGGGGTTTCACACTTCTGGATAAGGTTTCATTATGGGGGTTCTGTTGCCGGGTCGTTCTGTGGACCTTCCTTACTACTGAGATCCACGTGAACCTGGTTCATGATTTGAGGTCCACGTGGACTTGCTTCATGATTGAGGTCCACATGGAATGGACCTCAGTCATGACGGAGGTCCACGTGGGAGGTGCACGTGAACCTGATTCCCGACTGAGGCCCAC